GCGCGGTTGTCCAGTTCTGAGAGGACGTCATGACGTTCTCCCAGAACGCGCCCTCCCGCGCTCCCCCAGTGGCGCTTACCCGCCAATATCTGTGATCTTTGTGCCTACAGACACTGCTAATCACATAATGAGGTAAAAGGCCAATCACAGCAGCCTTTTTGCCACGTGATCAGCTGTATCCAACAACACAGCATATCACTGAGTAAATACAGTTGCCGGTTATCGGTAGCACTGTCACAGCGTGAGGAAAGTACTGCCGATAACCGGCAAATGTCACAGAGCAGATCAGCACTGATCATCAGTGCACTGCAGTGCCGCCCATCAGTGCCCAGGAGTGCCAGCCATCATTGCTGCCCAGCAGTGGCACCCATCAGTGTCCAGCAGTGATGCCATTCAGTGCCGTCACTCAGTGCTGTCAGTCAGTGCCATCAGTCAGCACCGCCCATCAGTGATGCCCATCAGTGCTGCCTATCAGTGCCCATCAGTGCTATCAGTGCCCATCATTGCTGCATATCAGTGTACCATCATTAGTGCCTCATCATCAATGCCCACCAGCGCCACCTCTTCAGTGCAGCCTATCAGTGCCCATCAGTGCTGCCTATCCATGCCACCTCGTCAGTGCCGATCAGTGCTGCCTATCAGTGCTCATCAGTGCTTCCTATCAGTGCAGCCTCAACGTACATCAGTGAAGGAGAAAAATTACCTGTTTGCAAAATTGTATAATAGAAACAAAGAAAAACTTTTTTTTAAATTTTTTTGCTCTTTTTTTGTTTATAGTGCAAAAAATAAAACACCCAGTGATGATTAAATACCACCAAAAGAAAGCTCTAGGTGGGTAAGGGGGTAAAAGTGCCCGGTAGGCAAGTGGTTAAATCATAATGACAACAGAAATCACCTAAATGGCCCTGATCAAAAGTTTATATACCCTGGAATATTTGGCCCTGGTACAGACACACAAGGTGACACACAGGTTAAAATGTCAATTAATTAATCCCACACCTGTGAATTTTTCAGTTGCAATTAGTGTCTGTGTATAAACAGTAAATTAGTTTGTTAGCTCTCATGTGGATGCACTGAGCAGGCTAGATACTGTCAAATGACCTGCACAATAAGGTAGTGCAACTTTATAAAGATGGAAAAGGATATAAAAAGATGTAGCACTACCCCCTTAGGAGTTGCTGACATTTTGGGTCCCCCCAATAGTCCTGCACAGCCAGGCAATATTCATTTTCACAAATCTGCATCCAGGAGTCAGTAACCAGTTCTTGGGCTTGTTTTGATGTTCTATTAGGAGATTTTAGAACTTTGATGGGGTAAGGGGTGTACTGGATACCCAAAAGAACTGAGGAACTGAGGACAACTTTCTGAATTTCGTACAAGTGGTTACAACAGCAGTCTCCTTTGGAGAGCTAGCCAAAGACTCCTGTAGTACCACCCCAGACCCCAGATGTTACTTTATATGACTGCTTGGAGCAATCCCTGAGCAGGGGATCCAGTACCTGTCACTTTAAGAAATAAGACAGTCCCAGGTGCTGGCTAATCTGATTTCCCACTAGAATGCTCCTTCTCCCATCTGGCCCAGGGGTGTAGGTCTCCTCACTCAGTCCTTATCCTGTGTTGCTGGTAGCTGCTTCCAGGCTGTTTAGCCGCTGCTTCTAGACCTTTCTCCAAAGTTCTAGAACAAGGGAAAATTCCAGAGGGCTGGACAGCAGAACCTCTCAGCTCTGAACCAAATTTGACCCTGCTAACTATTACACCCAGGCTGCTACTCAGCCCTCCTAGCTAACAATTGAACTAGAGCTCCCCCTAGCTAACTAGGAAGATGCTACAAAGATATCCAAAGCCTTGAATATGCCAGTCAGTACTGTTCAATCACCTATTAAGAAATGGAAAATTTGGGTATCTCTTGATACCAAGCCAAGGTCAGGTAGACAAAGGAAGATTGCAGACACAACTGCCAGAATTGTTCGAGATACAAAAAAAACACCCATAGGGGATATACAGGCTGCTCAGGAAAGAGACTGTGTGGTTGCTGTAAGGAGCACAATACGATACTTGAACAAAAATGAGCTGCATGGTCCAGTTGCCACAAGGAAGCCTTTACTGCACCAATACCACAAAAAAGCCCGGTCACAATATGCCCAACACTGTAATATGGAGTGACGAGTACAAAATAGAGTTTTATGGTCACAACCATAAGCTCTATGTTTGGAGAGGGGTCAATAAAGCCTATAGCAACAAGAAAACCATCCCCACTGTGAAGCATGGTGGTGGCTCACTGATGTTTTGGGGGCGTTTGAGCTCTAAAGGCACAAGATTATCTTGTGAAAATTGATGGCAGACAATTGATGTGAAAATACTGGCAGACAATTTGCAGTCTTCTGCACATAAGCTGCGCATGGGACTCTGTGACGGACCTCCTGGCACCGTCCGTCAGAGAACTGCTTCCTCGCTGCTGGGGTACAGGACCAAGGTGTTATAGCTGGGCACCCAAGACTAGGCGAACTAGCTTAGGTGCAAAACTGGAACAGAATATTACACATTGTGATAAACATCCCAAAATGATTATATAACAAATAAAATGCATCTATCATTAGAATATCAACAAAAAAGTGCATCAGCATCACAAAAGGAAAAGTATCCAGTGCCTGTTTGTTACCAGCGTTAAATAAATGAAAGTGTCCAGTGTCCCTTAATAAAGTTCTCAGTGCTTGTGCTCCATTGGCTTGCAATAATCAACATGGTGTATCTATCCTTTATGGAACTTATTATCCATGTTTATCAGTGGGTTATAAAGTTCTTGTGCCCCTCAGGGGGACTTCAAGACCACAGCTGCAATCCATCTTCTTAGTATGTATCTGCCCCCAACTGATCTCATCCCATTCATCTTGCTCATACTCCCATTGGAAGGATTGCACACCTGTACTTCCTGGCTAACAGCGTTGTCGTTTGCTCTGTATCACTCAGGAAGCAAGAAACAGCGCTGTCAGCCAGGCTCATCCTCTAAGAATGAACTATGGTCCTTGGCACATCAGAACCCTATTTTCAAGGCGAAGCAAACTTTCTGAATAGATGCAAAGCGTTCCTTGATTTATCCAATTGCAGAGGCAGGGTGGTGACAAGCATGTTCCTCAATGCTTGTCACTGGATGGTGGAGACTTAACTGTGCTGTGTTGATCAATGTTGATCAGTTACTTGATTACTGTTTCAGATGCAGGTCTGAAAAGGTAAGCAAGCAACTGGGCAGACTGCATAGCTAAATTTTACATCATGCAGTGTCCAACTTCCTGATTGAAACATACATGTCTAAAGGGTGCTAAGAAATGTTTTCTTTCACTATTGAAATCAGTAGGATGTTGATGTATCACTCCCCCTGCTGGCTGTTATATAGCAATAAAAAAACAGCAGCTGCAGCTACAGGAATGTACTGAGGATATGCACATATTTTCAGAAAGGAAAAAAAATTCAACAGTACTGATACATCATTGTGAGTCAGTAACTAAGGTTCTCTATTAATACTAAACGGAATGAATGTGAGCAGGGGCGGACTGACAACTTATGGGGCCCCTGGGCAATAGGGGATCATGGGGCCCCTGTGTCCTTGCCCAAACTCAAAAAAAGCCTATGAAAAAGGTACCAGGGGCATCTCATGGGGCCCCCTACTGACTCTGGGCCCTCGGGCAGTGCCCGAGTTTCCAAATGGTCAGTCCGCCCCTGAATGTGAGGTTAGTTCTTCTTTAACCCTTTCATTGCCACTGATGCTTGTCACATGGCAGCAGCATTAGGGGGAAATTCACACACTCCTTGCTGCTTGTAAATCTGACAAGTCCATTGCCAGCTGTCAGTCAGGTGGAAGTGAGCGAGGAGGGTGCCTCAATCACTTACACATTCAAATGTAAATGCACTTTTCAGTGTGTGTGTGTTGGGGGGGATGTACAAAAACATTGATTGCACTAAATATGTTACATATTGCCGCACACGCTGCTGTGAATTCTGCAATGTTTCTGGAGCGATTATTCATGGTTAACTCTTAAATGATGACCTGTGGGGCCTTTTTAAGGGTTGCCTATTGATAATTTTGCTTACCTAAGTTCTTTATTATTTCACGGGAATGTGCAACTTTAAGGCTAGGTTCACACCTATGCAGGTTGCATTTGAGAGCCATTTCTGCATTGCATTTTGCGTTGCATTTTTGCACCTGCATTTTTTTTACGTGTTTTTGATGCATTTTGCAAGGGGGGGGGGGTCATTTTTTTTATTTTTCTTGTTGCTAGGCAGATTTGAAATGCATCAAAAACGCAGGAAAAATGCTGCAAAAAGGCAATACTTGCATTTCCATTGAAGTCTATAGAACCAAAAATGCAACTTTTGCATTCAAAAAAGTTCCTGACCCTTTCCAAAAAACGCACCGGGTGAAAACGCGCAGATATGAACATGTCCATAGGAAATCATGTTAAATGGACTGTACTGTGTTTCTGCAAAGCGCTGCAGAAAACGCTTAGGTGTGTACCTAGGATCAGGCTTGACATGTTTAGTATGTATTTGCTCAGTGCAGCCTCATTTTTTATATTTTACAAAAAATTTGATAAAATATTGTATTTGTGTGCCTTCAAATTAACTTTAGTGTATTTTGTCACTGAAAATTTGCACTTGATAAACTGTTGCGCTAATATTGTATGACATAAAAATTTGGAACTACCACCGTTTTATTTTCCAAGGTCTTGCTTTCAGAAAACATAGAATGTTTTGGGGTTTTAGCTAATGTTCCGGCATAAAAAATGTTTTTTAAACGTGCAAAATAATGTCAACTCTCTAGGAGCAAAGGGTTAAACTCTAGACTTTCTACATTGACCCTTCCCAACAAACCACTCTCTCTCTCTCATTTTGCAGTTGTCCTGGGGACTCACATCAATAATAATTTTGACTAATGAATGCAATTCCTGAATTCTGTCCCCTGTATTGCAGACATACGAAGATTTGCATTTTTTTTTCCTCTGCAGGTTTTTGGGAAAATAGCTCTTAACGATACTACAGAAATTAACAGAAATAATAATTTTCAGACCTTCCCTCAAGCTGTTCTGCTGCTCTTCAGGTGAGTAGTGCTGCAGATGACAAATTGATGGTTCTAGAATGTTTTGTTCATTGTGTCATGTGTTTTATAGGGTCTTGGATCTTGGAATCTCTGTATTGCACAAATATACAAACAGGCAATATTTATCTAAACACTTTACTGTACTTGGCTTTAAGCACACATCTGTCTTTATTATTCTCCTTTGTATATTTTTGTATGAAATTCTCCATGACAAATGGAAATACTCACCAATCTAATTGGCAAGTCAGTTGTCCCTTTCAAGGGAAAAGTAATCAGCACTTAGTTTGTGTTGGCCACTTTTTAGCAACAGGTTTCTAAAAGACTCTTTTCCTGTAAAACATTATTATAGACTACAACGTAATTACTTAGTATTTGTGTCCCTGGTTCTGGTTTGACCTCGTTGGTTGATAGCATTATTCTTGCAGATGTGCTACCGGTGAAGCATGGCAAGAGATAATGTTGGCTTGTCTCCCCAACAAGAAGTGTGACCCGGATTCTGAAACTCCCCGAACTACAGAGGAGGACTTCTCCTGTGGAAGTAGCTTCGCCGTCTTCTACTTCATCAGCTTCTACATGCTCTGCGCATTCTTAGTGAGTGTCTGCTCTACTAAAGATAGTATTTAGACACATGCTAATCCTCTAAATTTATTCCCAAATCTTTAGATTTGTCCCTAATCCTCTAGGTTTATTTCTAATCTGTTTCTTGTATCCCATATTGTATATGTTCATTTTCAGTCATTTAGGTTCAGCCTCAAGTCCTCTAGGTTATTCCCCAATTCTCCAGACTAATTCTCTAAATTTATTCAAATTCTTCTAGACTCATTCCCAATCCTCTAGGTTGATTCACAATTCTCTAGGTTCATCCTCAATCCACTAGGTTCATACTCAGTCCTCTATTAACCCTTCAGCCCTTTAGGTTCATCCCCCGTCCTCTAGGTTCATTCCCAATATTCTACCGTTATCCCCATTCTTCTAGGATTGTTCCCAATCCTCAAGACTCATTTTCATTCCTCTAGACCCATATGCCATTCTCCAGTTTTTTCCAAATTATATAGAGTTCTCACCAGTAATCCAGACTTATTATATAAAATAAATCTTTGTTGCGCTATATCTTTAAATACTACTGAGAACATAAAAGTGTGCGACACCCCCAACATGGAAAAATCTTACAGTGTATAACTCAAAGTTCATCAAAAGTCCACCAGAACCATATATGTGTAGAAAAAACAACTTTTAAAATCCTCCGTGGATTCCCAGGTGAGTACCACCACTGCTGCTGCAATCAGCCTTTTACCAAACAGGTATAACCCTAGATTATAGGAGGTCATAACTCACATGGGAACTCTTGCAGTTATCACATCATAGACATTGGGAAACCACAAATAGCACCAGCAGGGATTGGAAATGATCATCATCTCCGCTCAGCATAAAACATGGATCCGGTAAGAGGACACTGAGCATACCTCTTAGCTTTAAAATTGAAAGAAATACTCAAAAGCATTTATTTGTACAAGCACAAACAAACAACTCCATTGTCCACAAGCTCCACCACAATGTGTTTCATCGTACTAGATGTTCTCAGGGAACCATGCCCTTGATAACGTCTGGCACTCACCTGGTGATCCACAGAGGATTTTAAGGACCTGTTCAAATCAGTTATCACACAGTTCTGTGCACTGCGCAGCACCGTACCAAAAGTAATGCATGCACAATTTTTGCAAGATACAGAGCAACAAGATTTCTTATATATATTTTGTCATACGTGTATTTGGTATTGCTGAGTGCTGTTGTACACATAAGATTTGGTTTTACACTAAACATTAAGTGCAGTTTTTTTCAGTTTAAGAAAATCTAGACTTATTTCCAATCCTCTCGACTAATATCTAATCCTCTAGGTTAATTTCCAATTCTCTAGGTTTCATTCTCAATTCTATCAATTCCTTCTTGATCTCTGAACCAACTAAGTGACTTTTAGTGAGTCATCAAAACTCATTCTCAATTATCTGGGCTGATGCCAATCCTCTAGACTCATTTCCAACCTTCTAAGCCGTGACCTGTAGGCTCTCTTTTAATCCATTAAAGAACAGCAAAAATTAAAGAGAGGTCTTAACCCTTCCATACTCTATCCAATTCAAGGTCTGCCTAGCAACGATTGGCCCAGGGGCAAGTAAAATCCAGAGGCCCATGGTGCAGTGACTCATCCCTCCCTCTTCACTGCCTCCTCATGACCTCCATCCCAGGCTGAAGCTCCACTCCAGGTACTCTCTGCTCACCGAGTCTGGGCTGGAAAGCACCTGCTGCACTCACTCTGGGTTCCCAAACTGGCTGGCAGGGGGCGGCCGGGGGATGCAGAGGAGAGCCGGTCAGCTCAGTCGGGGCTTGCCGTGGGAGGTGAGCCTCTGGTGGGGCATGGAACCGGCCTGCTCAGACACAGCATACTCCATCCATACCGGGGGGGTGGCCTGCCCTCTATCCTCATCCCACACTAGGTAGGACACCGGCAGAGACTTTTTACTCCTCTTCACCAGGAAGCCTTTAGGCATTGGTGTGCATGTGTGTGTGTGTGTGTATATATATATATATATATATATATATACATATATATACATACACACACACACACTCTTCAGCAGCACATAGATTATACAATCAGGTAGAAGGAAAGAAAATCACTTGATTCATCCATCATCACAGTCAGTGTTGATGGGGGAATCTCTCCCATGGCCCTATTGTATTTTGACAGGAGTGATACAATCATCACTGCAGCCATAGTCACAGACAGTGATCACCCTAAAAAAAACCCAGCAGGCTGGTTGTACTGAAGTCGATCCATCAATCGTCTTCAGTACAACCAGCCTGCCCATAGACGGATTGAAATTTTGCTGGTTCCTGCTGAAGCAAATTTCGACTGTGGCCATCTGCAGGGGAGCCACAGTCCGGCCTCTTGGGGTTCCCTTCACAGTGGCATCAGAGTGGCCTGGGGGGGCAATTGCCTCCCAGCCCAGTCCGCCCCAAACCAATTGCTGTTTGTGTTGATATTGGAAATCTCTCCTTGTTTCCTGTCCAGGGGGGAAAATGAGGGGAACTCTGCCCAGCAGAGAAGCATAAAACAATGAGGAAAAAAAAGAAAACTGCATATTCCCATAGCAACCAATAAGATTTATCTTTTTTTAAACTCTGTCATTTTTGAGGATATTATCGGTGCTATTCTACCTTTATCTCTACAGATCATCAATTTGTTTGTCGCGGTCATTATGGATAATTTTGACTATCTGACGCGGGATTGGTCCATATTGGGCCCTCATCATTTGGATGAATTCAAGCGAATCTGGGCAGAGTACGATCCAGAGGCCAAGTAAGGATGGGAACTGACAGAATATTGTGAGAAAAACCTCTGATATTCAGTGATGGAAACAATGGAGACAACGGCCCTAACTTACTACAGGATATGTGCTCACAATAGCACATCATGTACTCAGGCAATTTACTGTGGGGTAGATTTACTAAAACTGGTGCACTCAGAATCTGGTACAGCTGTGCAATTAGGCTTTGGCAATAAAACCTGGAAGCTGATTGGTTTCTATGCAGAGCTGCACCAGATTTTGCACTCTTCAGTTTTAGTAAATAGCCTTCTATGTGTCCGCGATGTAGCGCACAGGCTACAACATATATACAAAGAATATACAAAGTGTGGTTTGCTATGGAATGTACATTCCAACACCTAAATGTATGCCAGCTAAACAATGTGGCTTTCATCAGTTTTTTATAGCAAATTTAAATGTGCGTGCCATGTAGAGAAAAAGGGGGAATTAAAGGAGACTGTGAAAAACCCTAATTTTCAAAAAGCCTCAGTGAAACATGCACAGAAGAGTACTGCACTTGGGGATGAGTGTACAAAAAAAATATTTATATTGTGATCAATTTCAGTATGTATTAATTAGTTAAAGCAATGCTCCAAAAAAAAATGGCTTCTGTAATAAAAGAATGAATTCTTCAGCAATACAGCCTTCAGCAACATCATCAGCATGGTAGAATCTTGTGAATGTCAGTCTCCTGGTCCCCACTGTATAGTGCATCCAGAAAGTATTCACAACGCTTAACTTTTGCCACATTTTGTTATGTTACAGCCTTACTCCAAAATGGATTAAATTCATTTTTTTCCTCAACATTCTACAAACAATACCCCATAATGACAATGTGAAAGAAGTTAGTTTTGAAATCTTTGCAATTTATTAAAAATAAAAAATGAAAAAAGCCGCATGTACATAAGTATTTACAGCCTTTGCTCAATACTTTGTTTAAGCACCTTTAGCACCAATTACAGCCTCACGTTTTTTTGAGTATGATGCTACAAGCCTGGCACACCTATTTTTGGCCACTTTCTCCCATTCTTCTTTGCAGTACCTCTCAAGCTCCATCAGGTTGGATGGGGAGCGTCGATGCACAGCCATTTTCAAGATCTCTCCAGAGATGTTCAATCAGATTCAAGTCTTGGCTCTGGCTGGGCCACTCCAGGATTTTCACAGAGTTTGGCCATAGCCACTCCTTTGTTATGTGGGCTGTGTGTTTAGGGTTGTTGACCTGTTGAAAGATGAACCATCACCCCTGTCTGAAGTCCAGAGCGCTCTGGAATAGGTTTTCATCAAGGATGTCTCTGTAGATTGCTGCATTCACATTTCCTTCAATCCTGACTAGTCTCCCAGTTCCTGCCGCTGAAAAACATCCCCACAGCATGATGCTGCAACACCACGCTTCACTGTAGGGATGGTATTGGCCAGGTGGTGAGCGGTGCTTGGTTTCCTCCAGACATGACGCTTGGCATTCAGGCTAAAGAGTTCAAGCTTTGTTTCATCAGACCAGAGAGTTTTGTTTCTCATGATCTGAGAGTCCCTCAGGTACCTTTTGGCAAACTCCAGACGGGCTGCCATTTGCCTTTTACTGAGGAGTGGCTTCCATCTGGCCACTCTACCATACAGGTCTGATTGGTGGAGTGTGCAGAGATGGGTGTTCTTCTGGAAGGTTCTCCTCTCTCCACAGAGAAATGCTGGAGCTTTTTCACAGTGACTATCGGGTGCTTGGTTACCTCCCTGGCTAAAGCCCTTCTCCCTCAATTGCTCATTTTGGCTGGGCGGCCTGCTCTAGGAAGATTCCTGGTGGTTCCAAACTTCTTCCATTTACGAATGATTGAGGTCACTGTGCTCATTGGGACCTTCAATGCTGTAGAAATTTTTATGTACCCTTCCCCAGATCTGTGCCTTGATACAATCCTGTCTCGGAGGTGTAAGAACAATTCCTTGGACTTCATGGCTTGGTTTGTGCTCTGACATGTACTGTTAACTGTGGGACCTTATATACACAGGCTTATGCCTTTCCTAATCATGTCCAATCAACTGAATTTCCCACAGGTGAACTCCACGTTGTGGAAACATCTCAAGGATGATCAGTGGAACAGGATGCACCAGTGCTCAATTATGAGTGTCATGGCAAAGGCTGTGAATACTTATACACATATGTTTTTTTTCTTTTTTTTTTTTAATAAATTGTAAAGATTTGAAAATGAAACTTCTTTCACATCGTCATTATGGGGTATTGTTTGTAGAATGTTGAGGAAAAAATGAATTTAATCCATTTTGGAAGAAGGCTCTAACATAATATAATTTGGCAAAAGTTAATACTTTCTGGATGCACTGTATGTTTTGGTTCCTCCGTCCAGCTTCCCTGTCAATACAGGACACCAGGAGTGTCAGAAAAAACACTCTGGTAGCAACACACAGTTGAATTTTCACTGGCACTAGGACATGTCAGTAATTGCTTTTCATGCACATGCCTCTTGGACAGGCCTATTGGCTAGTCAGCCTGAAGGCCTGCCTCATCATTGCACTTGGCACTTTTTCATTTTTCACTCTTTATCATGGGTACTTGCACTGCACGTGTGTTTGTTGTTTTTTTTATTTATACACAGAGACTGAAGGTGCAGGTTATTGGGCCCTGCCCTGATATTGGGGGGAGGATCCGTGACCTTTGGGACTTTTTCCTGTCCACAACTGGGGGCATCTCTCTTTGGAAGAATCCCCCACCAAGTACTTGGAGGATCGGCTTTGGCAAGTCCCTAAAGAATGGAGTCCATCTGGTTTCAGTTTAGGTAGACTATGGAGTCTTTTGCCCGTCAGGAGCTTTGTGCCCTGGGGGTTCATGGTCTGGGGGTCCTCTTTGGAGATTTGGCCATTTTGGTACCCTCGTGCATGTTTTTTGTGTGCTGTGATTCCACAATTCAAATTTTTTGGTTCAGGGATTCAAGAAGCTCTGCACTGCAAATCTCTGTAAAAAAATAAAAATAAACACTGGACACAAAACTTGTGTAGGATTGGGTGTAGTCAGGGACCTAGCACAACTGGATGTGTGTTGGACGTGCAGACTTTGCCAGAGACTATATCCATGAACACAGCGGTGTTTGGACTCACCAACCACTGAAGATATTAGTATTCAGAGTCTTTTATTGCAGTCACCATTCTTTGTCACTATTTTGGGAAGAGATAGTCACTTTAAATGAAAAATATGTCAAAAACAAAGAAAGCTTAAAGTGTTACCAAACCCACAACCTAAGGGGTTAATCCTGTTGTGTAAAAAGGATGTTTGATCCTGTCTTCTATGATACTCCCCTTCTTCTACTGTCCCTAAGCCATCTACTGATATTACAGAGCTCTAGGCGTCACTCTGCACATGCTCAGTTTAGTGTGAATTGCTAGAGAGCTTTTTTTCTTTCTTTGGGGGGGGGGGTGCATGTGATCAACACAGGGTCAATCAGCACTGTCCAGAAAGAGGGTCAGGAATCATGCAGCCTCATAGGACAGTCAGAGCAGAATGAAAACTCCTCCTACTAGATTAACCAGTGCTCGGCTGGACACAGAAGTCACAGGACTGCTATATACTGCTGATGAGAAAAAGTATTTAGAAGTTTATATTTACTAAAATAATTGCATTTCCATGTTCTGTGTATGGTGGGAGACCAGATATAATGAATGCAGGGTACTGGGTTTACTAATACTTTAAAGTGATACTAAAATGCTTTTTTGTTTTGCTTTTTTAAATAACAAACATATTATACTTACCTGCTTTGTGCAGTGGTTTTGCACAGAGCAGCCCAAATTCTCCTCTTCTTGGGTCCCCCACCGGCACTTCTAGACCCTCCCTCCTGTTGGGTGCCCCCATAACAAGCAGCTTGTTATGGGGCACCCGAGCAGGCATGCTCCCGAAACCCCTCCCTCTCCTAATTGGCTCGCTGGCTGTGATTGACAGCAGCAGGAACCAATGGCTCTCACTGCTGCCTCCATCAATCAGGAGTGAGAGCCCCCAGAGAACTGAGGCTCTCATGGACACCGTTGGAACTAGAGGGGGCTCAGGTAAGTGTTTGGGGGGGCTGCAACACACAGGTTTATTACCTTCATGCATAGAATGCATGAAGATAAAAAACCTTGAGCCTTTGAACCACTTTAATTGATACAATATATCCTGGCACAGAAACTTACATTTTACTATATTACTCACTAGCCATAGAGGATATAAATTAACTTTTTGTGCACTAAGTGTCAGTTGTCCTGCGTTGTAACTTCCTATGCATTGAATGCATTGGACAAATCCCCTCCCGAGCAAGTGGATTGCAGCCACAGTCTGCTCTTTGTGAAAGGTACCTTAGTGTAATCAAGTGAGCATGATAATCATACCTGCTGTAAGGAGACCCTGCATTACTGTGCTCCATGTCATATGACCTTAACCCAGCATTAGAGTAAATGGCTGCTGCAGCTGTGTGCTGTGGGTCCCCTAACCACCACACCATTAGCATGCGCTCATATACAAGCGCAGTACTGTATATAGCATTAAAAATCTACTAATTTCTAAATCACATTTAATAAAATGAAAGTCCAGCATCATTAGTGATAATCTTCAGTATCTAAACATCATTTGTGCTTCACCTAAATGGCAAACTTTTTAATGATCTCTTTTGTCCCTAGGGGGCGCATCAAGCACCTGGATGTAGTGACACTTCTGCGGCGGATACAACCTCCTCTGGGTTTCGGCAAGCTGTGCCCGCATCGTGTGGCATGTAAGGTAATCTAATAACTCAAAGCAGGAACTAATTATGACATTAATGTGTCATTACTACTAGGTACTCCTTAAACATTGGTACCTAAAGTATGGCCACTGTCACAGTTTTTTTTTAATTCTTTATTTAATAAAAAAGCAGTTTCCATGACAGAGAGACATCAATAGATGAAATACATACACCATTTCGCAAAATACAGTAGTATGCTTCAAGTGAGTGAAATTGTGATATTAAAAAGGAAAGAACAGAGTCATAATCCGTGTGGGCCTTGCAAGCTATCCATGGGAGAGTTAGTAACAACTCCCTTTCCGTAGACAACAGAAAGTGTAGATTGAGTCATGGAAGCAAAATAATTTTAGATGAGGGGGGAGAAGAGAAAGCAAAGGAGGGAGAAGGAAGGGGAAGAGAAAGAAAGGGGGGGGGATAGGAATAATAATGATGGTAATAGAGAAATAAATTCAAGGAATGTGTTGGTGCATCCTAGTGGGGAGCCTCAGCAAGCGCTCTCAATCAGCAGACTGTACATCAAAGAGGGCTTTCCCTGTTTGTCTTCAGAGTAGGCAAACGTGTTCCACAACATCCAGGTTTTAGAATACCTCTCATGCTTATGCTGCGTTGTAAGCTCCAGATCCAACATTTGGTTTAGTTCTTCTACCCTGCGGAACCAGAGGCTTATGGTCGGTGGCTGCGGGCATTTCCAAGTAAGGGGACTGTCCATCAAAGAGGGCTTTTCCTGTTTGTCTTCAGAGTAGGCAAACATGTTCCACAACATCCAGGTTTTAGAATACCTTTCATGCTTATGCTGCACGGTAAGCTCCAGATCCAACATTTGGTTTAGTTCTTCTACCCTGTGGAGCCAGAGGCTTATGGTCGGTGGCTGCGAGCATTTCCAAGTAAGGGGAATGCATGATTTGGCAGCGTTAAGGAGATGGTGAATTATGGATCGCTTATAAATTTTAGCTGGGATCTTTAAGACATGAAGGAGAAAAAAAGCTGGGTCTTTCGGGACCACATAATCTGAGAATTTTTTGTCCAGTAAAGGTCAAGTTTGGGACAGAACCAGAAGATGTGCTACAGTGTCCCCCATCCCTCCTGGCATCACTAGCAACAATCAGTAGAGTTTGTAAAGAATTTATGTAAAAGAGATGGTGTATACCAACAAGAATTTTAAAGTTGGTCTCCTGGACTCTCATACAGATTGAGGATTTTAGAACAAACCGGATAATATTGTTTTGTTGTTCCAAAATAAAAGTTTGTTCCAGGTCCACTTACAGACAGTAGTTCTCTGGGGGTGCCACCAGTAGAGCATATACTTTTGAAAGCACGTGGGGTAGAGCCCCTTGGACGGAGCAATATTCCTCAAATGTAGTGAGACGATGGTTAAAGTTACGTGGAGATGGCCAGGAGTTCAAAAAGTGGTGTAACTGTAAAGCCTTCCATAAATCTAGACAAAATGGGCCTGTAGGGCTCATTAATGAGTACAGGCATGGCCAATTATCCGCCATCAGGAAGTGAGAGGCCTGAAACCGACCAGAGTTCTGTAAGGTCTGAAAAAACACATCATGGAGACCCGGGAGAAGAGCTGGTTTCCCAGGATGGGGAATAGTAGAGAGTCTGTAGAGGAGAGGGAGGCATAAACGAAAAAGCTCAGAGCACGTTTGTGTCGTAGGTCCTATTAAAGGACTTGCCTTCAGAGAGTGTGGTAAGGTCTCAGAACACTATGGCTTGCTATGTAATGGAAGACAGCTTTGACCCTGTTAGAGTTGTGTTTTAAAGCTTAGTGTCCTGGTGCCACCAAAAGTCAATAATTCTCACTGTCACAGTTTTTATCACCTTGTAATTATTAGTCATCCTTACCTCCATAGATTATCATATAATGGAACATTCTCTGGTATTGTAGGATGTACCTACTGGGAGTGAGACTGTACAGTCTCTGGGCCTTGGAGGTTTAGGGTAAGCAGAATAACAGCTACTCCTTCTTACTTCGCACCATGAATGCAATACATTTATAAAGCTGGAGCAATATTTCTGTAAAATGCCCAGGAGATTTGTTTTCTGGGCTAAGAGTGCTCCTTTATAGATGAAAATGAAGACTTTTTAGTGAACATCTTCTTTGCCCAAGTACTGGGGGAGGCACCAGTACCATTTATTTACCTCTCCTTCACTCTCTTGCCACACAGTTTGCCACTGGGAAACCATGGCAGGAGATCCCATGTAACCTCCCAGTTGCTTTTTGGAGCTTAGAATGAGCCAAGGACTTTCTTGTGTCAGTGCAGTGAGTGAATCACCAGGCACCAACCTTGTCATGTGAAAAGAAGGGAAATGAATTCACTTCCAGTGGCAGAACAGTACGCCTGGGGCATTAAAGGAAAGTGCCTATGTACTGCTGGTGAGGCCAGCATTAAACTGAACCCCTTTGTTTTGCCCTGAGTGGACAATCCTCCAGTTCACTTTCAGTATTAAGTTTTTTTATCTTTTCCTTTTAAATATGTCGTGATATTTGTACTGCCAAATAAGAAACATAGACTTATTTTGTGTTCTTCTCTCCCGATCAGCGGCTGGTTGCCATGAACATGCCTCTGAACAGCGATGGGACAGTCATGTTTAATGCTACTCTCTTCGCTTTGGTTCGGACATCTCTATGCATCAAAACTGACGGTAACTTTGTTCTGATGGTCAAAAATGTACTGTTGTCTTTTTGTTTTTGATCTAATGCTTTAATAATAAGACATTGCAAAGTGTCAAGGTGACAGCAAAGATTAGTGAGGCACAACAGCCAATAAGGCTTCAGTCCACATTTAATGTGATTGCTGTTTCTTTTTTGCTGTTGTATTTTATTTGGAAACCTTTAAGTGAGTAACAGCCCTCTTGGGTCCATTGTCCCATTTGCAGGTAACCTGGAACAGGCCAATGAGGAACTCAGAGCTATCATAAAAAAAATCTGGAAGAGGACCAGTATGAAACTGCTTGACCAGGTGGTGCCGCCAGCTGGGGGTAAGTAAACTGTGCCAAAATAAAAGTGCCATCTATTGTCATCCACTAGAGGCAGTAGCATACCTGCTACCAAGACTAGTCATTTTTCAACATCCCTGCCCCCAAACATGCATAGCAAAACAGCTAACCTTATAAAGCTCCACATTGTGGGTGTGGTCATACTGTGCTTAACTCTTTAAGTCCTGCACTCCACTTTTAAAACTCAGCTGGCCATACCATTTTTGCAATTTTTCCCTGTTAATTTTTCGCTTACAGCTTTCAGACTTTGTAAACAAACCCCACAGCTCACACATTTTATGAAAGTACAAGTAAAAAGAGGTGCTATTGATTTTGTAGTTCCTGCAACAGTTGCGCAAATGCTTACCAAAACAATATTTTCAGCAAAAATACACTAAAATCATTATTAGCAGACACAAACACAACACAACTTCCAAAAAAATTTATACTACATTTTTACAAAATCTAAAAGCTAAAACTTTACTGAGTTGATAAATATCAAATAATTCTAAATTTTAAATTGTGCCTTTTTGCAAATGGTGAAAATCGAAGGTATGCAAAACTGTAAATAAGCAACATACTCTAAAAATCTAGAGGTTATCCTTTTTCATTTACAGCTTTCAGAGTTTGTAAAAGACCCCCAAGCTAACAACTTCTGGTAAAGTAGAAAAAGTAGAATAAAAAGATGGTGGTATTGATTTTGTAGGTCCCCCGTTAATTGCTCAAATGTTAATCTAAACAATATTTTTGCTAAACATACACTAAAATCATTATTAACAGACACAAACACAACAGGTCTTGGGGCTCATTCACATGAACGCTGTGGCCTGTGCAGTGTGAATCAGCAGTTCATTTGTGTGGCTGGAGCTCCTCCTTACCCCTCCTCCTCAGACCCCAAGACCTCTCCCCGCTCCTCAGAATCCTCCAGACCTTACCCCTCCTCCTCAGACCCCCCAGACCTTCCCCCTCCTCCTCAGACCCCCCAGACTTCCCTCCTACTCCTCATACCCCCCCAGACCTCCCCCCTCCTCAAACGTCCCCCCTTAGTCCCTTAGTCCTCCCCCTTCTCAGACACCCCCCACAGACCTTCCCTTCCTTCTCAGACCCCCACCCCCCCAGACCTTCCTCCTCCTCCTCAAACCCCCCATACCTTCCCCCTCCTCAGACCACCTCTCTTCCTCAGACCCCCCCCTAAGCCTCCCTCCTTCTCCTCAGACCCCCCCCCCGACCTCCCCCTTCTCAGATGTCCCCCATAGCCCTCCTCCTTCTCAGACCCCCCCAGACCTTCCTCCTCCTCCTCAAACCCCCCATACCATCCCTCTCCTCCTCAGACTCCCCCAAACCGCCCCCCTCCTCCTGAGACCCCTCCTAGACCTCCCTCCTCATCAGACCCCCTCCAAAGCTCCCCCCACACCTCAGACCACTCCCAGACTTTCCCCCCCTCCTCAGACCCTCCAAGACCTCCCTCTTCCTCCTCAGATCCCCCAGACCTCCCCCTTCCTTCTCCTCATACCCCCCCAAGACCTGCCCCTTCCTCCTCAGACCCCCTCTCCTCCTCAGACCCCCCCCCCCCCCAGCCCCCCCTCCTTCTCAGACCTTCCCAGCCCTCCCTCCTTCTCCGACCCCCTCAGATCTTCCCCCTCCTCCTCAGTCCCCCCCAGACCTCCCCCCTCCTCCACAGACATCCCTCCTCCTCCTCAGACCCTCCCCCTTCCTCCTCAGAGCTCCCAAACCTCCCTCCTCCTTCTCCTCAGACCCCCCCCCCAGGTCTCCCCCCTCCTCCTCAGACTTCTCCTGACCTCCCCCCATCCTCCTCAGACCCTCCCCCCCAGACCTCCCTCCTCCTCCTTAGACCCCCACAGACCCCTCCCTCCCTCTCAGACCCCCCCCCCAGACCATCCCCCTCCTACTCAGATTTCACCCCCAGATGCTCCCCCACCTCCTCAGATTACCTCCCTCCCAGATTTTCCCCCTTCTTCTCAGAACCCCCCCAGACCTTCCCCCTCCTCCTCAGAACCTCCAGACCTTTCCTCTCCTTCTCAGACCCCACCCTCCCAGACCTTCTCCCTCCTTCTCAGACCTCCACTTCCTCTCAGACCTTCCTCCTCCTTCTCAAACCCCCCTTCCCCCAGACCTTCCCCCTCCTCTTCAGACCCTTCCCATATCTTCTCCCTCCTCCTCAGACCCCCGTGATCTTCCACCTCCTCCTGAGACCCCCCCCCCCCCCCGACCTTCCCTCTCCCGCTCAGATCCCCCTCCCAGACCTCCCCCCTCCTCTCCTTTTTAGACCCCCCCAGACCTTTCCCATGAGACCCCTCCCCAGATGCCCCCCTCCTTCTCAGATCCCCTCCCTCCCTCTTTCCTCCAGATCCTCCCCTTCCTCATTAGACCCCCCTTCTCAGACCCCTCCCCTTCTTTAGACCCCTTCCACCTCCTCAGACCTCCCCCTCCTCCTCAGACTGCCTTAAACTCCTCTCTCTCATACTCTAGGTAGACATTTGTGCACTGCAGAAATGTGCACAAAATCGCATGCATTCCTGCAATGCACAAAAACACACAGACATGCAATGGTGCTGTTATTCTTAATGGCACCCCCACGCACCTTGCTTTTGCATTCAGTCACCCGCACCAAAACACTTGGTAGCAAAGAATCATGTGTTTTGGTGCTGCACAATTTTTAAAAAGGTTTTTTTATGTGGTTTTAGCACATAGAGTAGCACATTTAATTGAATGGGGCTGCCCTAAACATGCTGCACAAAAAAGCACACACTACAAAGACGTATATGAAGCCTTAGGGCTAGGTTTCACTTGTTGTAGCCCTCTGAAGAGCGATTTGCATTAGATCATTAGGGCATTTGACAGACAGAGAAGATACATTAAGTCTTCTCCTCATTGCCTGCTTGAATCCCCTAAAATCCTGCACCATTGCACCAAAATTGCATGCTGTTGGAGCTCAGCCCCATTTGCTTACATTGTTCATGTGCAGCACATGGTACTGCATGTCAAACATGTGGATAATTTTTTGCGCATGTTAAACCCCATACGTTCACAATGGCAGCTCAGGAAGGAGGAGTGGGGGCAGCTGGGAGGCAAAAACATGGCTCAACCTCCTCCACAAACTGCCTTATGGGCTTGTTCACATGGGTGGACAGAGTAAAAGAAAGCAACTGAGCCCCATTTTTTTCTACTCCTGACCACCTACCTGAACAAGGAGATGCAGTTGTACCCATAAAATTAAATGGAACAGGGCCACACTACAGCTGCGTGAAATAAACACGGCTGCAGCACAGTGGGCAGTGGGTTAAAACAGGCAGCAAGGAATTGGCATTTTGCCTCCTTACTGCATATCAAACACATTTTGAAAACTAATCTGCCATGGATCTTTTTTCAGAAGGGCAGAAATGACACCTTAGATACCTTTCGCTCTGCAGCAATACAGCGTCAGCTTTTTCCCAGTGAAACAAATGCAGCACCATTGTTCCTTCCAGTGACACCACCGATACAGGAACATTTTTTTTTTTCTTTCTGGTTACACCACGATACAGGGAAATTTTTTAATTTTTTTCTTTCTGGATACACCACCGACACAGGGACATTTTTTTCTCTTTGCCACTGCTCTTCCCATACTGTGCACTGATTTTAAACTCTTCAGTTTGCTTCAGTGTACCACAACTATTGGTACTTTTTTGCCTATGCCGCAAACATTAAATACGTTGTACTCCGCAAACTGCTATTATCCCCCCATCTTCGCCCTGAGCGCTGGATGATCTTGTCCCTGCACTGCCTAAAGGCTTCCTGGTAAACAGGTGTAAAAAGTCCCCGCCAGAGTCCTACCGAGTGCGGGATGAGGATGAGGACGAGGACAGAGCACAGGTAGCCCCCCCCCCCTTGCATTGATGGTGTATGCCATGTCCGAGCAGGGGCCAGCTCCGTGCCCCACCAGAGGCACTCCTTCCCCGGCCAGCCCTAACCAAGCCGCCCTGGCCAGTTTGGAATCCCAAGGTCGGTGCAACAGGCTCTGTGCAGCCTGACGCACCCGTGAGCAGAGAGTGCCTGGAGCGGGTCTTCAGCCTGGGATGGGGTTGGGAGGAGATAGGGAAGAGGGAGAGCGAAAGGGGACCGAGTTGCTGCACAGTGGGCCTCTGGGTTGTACTTGCTCCCTGGGCCAAAAGTTGCCAGTCAGCCCCTGGCTTAGATACTATCACTTAGCCATTATTGGCCAAACTTATATATCTTTAAGACTTCACTAGGTGCATGCTTGTTCTGCAGTAGGGATCAGATCTAGGGTTAGTCCACACCCATATTTAGACTGAATTTTGGTTGTTCGGAGGTTCAGCAAATTACCAAACTAAATCTAGGTTGAGGGTCTGTTAAAGGTGAAGAGAATCCTTGACAGTTCCTTTACAAACACAACAGTCAGGAGCTCTAATTTACTGGCATATACAGTTAGGTCCATATATATTTGGACACAGGCACAATTTTAGTTTTTTTTCAGGTATTTACCAAAACATATTTCAAGCTATAGTTATATAATGAATATGGGCTGAAAGTGCACACTCTCAGGTTTAATATGAGGGTATGTACATCCAAATTGGAGGAAGGGTTTAGGAATTACAGCTCTTAAGACTAGCCATCCCCCCTTTTTCAAGGGACCAAAAGTAATTGGACAATTGAATATAATCATAAATAAAATGTTCATTTTTAATATTTTGTTGGGAATCCTTTACTGGCAATGACTGCCTGAAATCTGGAACCCATGGACATTACCAAAGGCTGGGTTTACTCCTTTCTGATGCTTTGCCAGGCTCTAACTGCAGCTGTCTTCAGCTGTTCTTTGTTTGTGGGTCTTTCTGTCTTTAGTTTTGCCTTCAGCAAGGGAAATGCATGCTCAATTGAGTTGAGATCAGGTGATTGACTCGACCATTGCAGAATATTCCACTTCTTTTCCTTCAAAAGCTAGTGGGTTGCTTTTGCAGTGTGTTTTGGATCATTGTCCATCTGTACTGTGAAGCGCCGTCCAATCAACTTTGCTGCATTTGGTTGAATATGGGCTCACAGTATATCTCTAAACACTGCAGAATTCATCTGGCTGCCTCTGTCTTCTGTCACATCTGCGATTTGACAGTTCCAGATGCCATGACAAGTTGCACCCCATTACTGGCAATGGAACCGTTCACATCGCCTTAACTCATGTCACAGCGATTAATTATGAAAAGGGTTCCTGCACTACTTTTTGCCAATTTCATTGTGACTTGCATAGACGTCTGTTATATGAAGTCACAAGCCGCAAAGAAATCCGCCAAGCAAATCACACTGATAAGTGTGAACCTGGGCTAAATGTCACTTTTGCTGTAGTACCTTGCACACTTTGTACAGATACATCCTTCCCCTTATCCTCACCTTTAGGGGTCTTCTCTAAGGCCCATTCTCCCCCAAGAGGCTATTTAGAAGTAAAACTCCGGACATGGCAATATCTGAAATCTGCTTTTTTAGTTTATTTGTTTGACACATGGCTTTGATAGCCTTCTCACTTGTCACATGATGTATTGTACACTCTCACTTTCTGATCTGTTCCTGTGTTCTTTAAAGTGACTGTAAAGTCTTATTTTTATTAATAACATGTTATGATTATCTGCTCTGTGCAGTAGCATTGCACAGAGCGACCGTTATAGTGGTTTTAAAAGCATTCTATGCATGAAGCTATAAACATGTGCATGTGTGTGCGCATCTCCCTCCCCCCCAGACCCCTAATACTTACCTGAACTCAATCCAGCAATGTGCATGAGAGCAGTAGCTCTCCTGGGTCTCTTCCACCATAATGGCTGAGATACAGCAGTGAGAAACATTGGCTCCCTCTGCTGTCAATCACAGCTGGCGAGGAGGGAGCGGAAGGTGAGGCTGAGCTGTACTGTGTGTGTCTTATAGACACACAGAGGGGGCTCGGGAGCGAGCACACACAAGTGCCCCCAGAGCAACTGGCTTGCTCTGTGAACACTCAGCAGGGTTGAGGGGCCAGGAGCGCTATAGAGGCTGCTCTGTGCAAAAGCTTTACACAGAGCAGGTAAGTATAACATGTTTGTTATTTAATAAAGAGCCTTTAATATCAATTTAACCTCCTATCTCAGGTCCCCCGCCAGCACTCCTGGCTCCTTCTCCAAACTGCTTGCTTTGGGGACACTTGAGTGGGCTCAATCCTGAGCAGCAATGCCTATGTCAGTCGACACAGACATCCCCTGCTCCCTCATCACAGGATTTGACTAACTGCAGCAGGAGCCAATGACTTACACTGTGTCAGCAAAGCCTGTGAAAGCGGGGAAAGAAGACAGCCGCTACAAATGGGCACAACACTGGATTAAGTGAGGACTTAGGTAAGGGGGGAGGGGTCGATACTGTTGTCTAAATATTTTTTATCTTAATGCAGGGAGTGCATTAAGTTAAAAAATGTTTAGGCTTTAGAATCACTTTACCTTTATGGGTCGATTGAGTCAGGTTTTATGGACACCTTTTTGGTAACCTATGTGCTTACACTTGAAAACCCTGATATTGGATATGCATTGTGTTTTTATAACTGTATCATATGTTATTATACCTGACTGGACTGTATTAGTACAGAATGTGTGATGGCTGGGTATTTTATCAGTTTATTTATTTATTTCAGGTACTTATGAAGCGCTGTCAATGTATGCAGCGCTTTACATATATATTGTACATTCACATCAGTCCCTAACCCTCAAGGGGCGTACAATCTACAGTATACACTGTGTCCAAAGTAAAGATATTTGTAAAAAAATTTATTTAGCATTTTTAAAGCTGTCAATTAAGAAATATTAAAATTACTTTTCCCTACCACACGGAATTAAAAAAAAAATGTTGTACTTTGGTACATGTTATTCAGTAAAGTTCAAAATCAAAAATAAAAATACTTCAAATGTCCCCCAGGCACACACCTCCCAAAGAATAAAGCCCCCTCAAATGACACAATCCATAGTCAGTAGGCCAGAGGCTAGCCTGCAGTCCCCTCCAAAAGCCCTTGTCCCGGTTAGGTCTGTCACCATTCCCCCCACCCAAAGGCATACTGATCTGGTTTCAAACCTTCAACGGTTTGAACATGTGTTAATCAGGCAGTGAACCCACATAGTTAGTCCACATGATTTCCATTATTGGCCACAGGGAAGAGTTGTCCATGGTAGGTGTGGGGCAGAGGTCGTGGACATTCTGTCCGGCTGCCAGCGCTTCAGTGGGAGGTCTTTACCGTTTCGGCGCTCTGTCTGCTGCTGGGGAGAGGGGCTGACTGCCCAGACTCCCTGGAGCCATGAAGACATGGAAGGTGCTAGACAGAGGCCAGGGGCATTCTGCCCTATTGCAAGCAATTCAGCTGGGGACCCCACATCCTCTGCTCTGGCTGACTGTTGGGGTGGGAGGACGACTTCCTCCGCTTCCAACTCCTCAATCTGATGTTGGGAAGAAAAGGATGAACACCTCCTCCCTTGGATGGAGGATCTGCTGCTGTAAAGGAAGGATGGCTTCCTCCTCTCCCTGCACCTTGGCCTGCCACTGTGGAGGAGAAATGGCTTCCTCCCCTCCCTGCACCTCTAACTGCCGCTGGGGAGTGAGCACAGTTACCTCCCCTCACTCCCCCTTGAACATCAGACTGCCGTTGGGGAGTGAGGACGGCTTCCTCCTCGCCCTGGCCCCTGGAATTCTGCTTAGGAGCTGAGCCAGCTGCCCAGTCTCCTGAAGACCCATCCAGTTGTGGAGATTACACCTCCCTGGTCTTCCAGGGGCATTGACCCTTGCTAGGAAGAGGAGAAAGCTTTCTCCGCTCCCGGATCATCATACTGCCGCTGGGGGAGATGAGGCGGTTGCTTCATCTCCCAGATTCCCATCCCACTGCTGGACAGATGCATTCCTCCATCAAAGCCAGTCCTGTGCAGAAACAGGTTAGTCAAGGTGAGTCAACATTGGTGCATCTGCCATAAAAGCTCAGCTTCCATAGCTGCAGAAGGGAGGTGGGAAAAGCACAATGTTACTCTGCCCCATTGTTGACACTTCAGCAGAGATTTCAGCGCTGTCGGCTAGTACTTCCCGTTAGTCCCAGGCAAACAGAACCCTGCCCAGCTGCTGAGTCTAGCAGCCATCTGTAGATCCATATCCAGCTCCTATTCCTGAAGGGCTAGAATCTCCAAATCTTTTTGTGACCAGAGCACTTCCAAGACGTTCAGCACCCAGTCTCTCTAATCCATGATTTTCCTCTGACAGCCTCCCATACAACAGCCCCAAGCCACCGTAGCCAAAGCTTTCTGTCGGACTGTGATCCGCTGTCCAAGGGCATACTTGGGCTACATACCAGCGGAGGGCTCTGTAGCTCTTGTTCAGAAGCATCTTTGCCTAGACCAACCTGTTTAACTCAGCTGCCCACTCCTCGTGTGGTTGTTCCCCCAATAACATCACCTGTACTTTGTTCTGCAACCAGTACCTTTCCTAGATTTAGGGGAGAATTTTTCAGTGGCGGCACTATTCTCGGTTTAGCACTTCCTTCCAGAGTTGCTGGCGGATGGAATCATACCATCCCAGCAGGACCTGCACTGATACTGGTCTCCTGTGCTACATCCACATCTCTCACAGCCTCCTTCTAAATTTCTCTTCCACGGTAGCTGGTATCTGCACCTAACTGGACATCAGGTGCCGTTTGTGGTTTGGATGTCCCAGATTGCAGGGAGCATCCTGCTGCTGAAATTGTGATGGACTGCCTGGCACCCTGTCTGGGTGCCTCCTGCCCTCCAATCCCTTCCAGCAGAGCGATACTAGCCCTTTATCCCAAGCATCATACACAGACAAGATGTTGAGGTAAACCCAAAGGAAGAACGTTATTGAACAGAAACACGGGTTTTTATTCACTTCAAAAATAAGGGCAGTCCCCACAATAACAACAAATATTACACATTGGGTAAACATCCCACAATGGTTAGATAAGGAGGTAAAGTTGACACAAGACTAATCACATCCAGACAGAAACAATGTGGGAATTCACACAGGAAACACACAATCGGGAAATTACAGAATGGGAGAAAGACACTTCACACCTAGACAGGATAGGGAAACACAGGTTCACTTTATAATAGTAAACACTTAACACCTTAAAAACAGATTACAAATAACATCAGGAAATCCCAGCATCTGGTTGTTTGGAGCCGATTATAATCTTCTACTATGAGTCTATGAGGGGGCTGAAGCGGCCAATGCTGGTTGTGCTGTTGATTGTATGACCCAACAAAACACAGAGGCCCTACATTTGTACCAGGGTTCTCCAGTTCTCAGAGTCTGTGTGTTTCAGGGAGACATGTTTTTCTGAAGTAAAACAACTCCAAAGGTCCCCCAGCCACGCACCCCTCAAGAACCCCCTCAAATACCAGAGCCTATAGTCAGTAGGCAGTAGGTAGTCAATAGCCTACAGTTCCCTCCAAAAGCCCCTGTCCCTGCTGGGTCTGTTACACCAGGTATGTTTGGCTCATAACTATATTGCACCAGTCCATCACTAAGTAGTAAAATGAGGATGATGACAGCTCCAGAACTACAACTTTAAATAGACGCCAGCAATGGCAGCTGTGATTTTCCTGTGCTTTCTCAGAGGTTTACTCTAAATCTGATTTTAGTTTCACCCATGCATAGTAATCTGTAAAGAACATAAATTCTGACAACATACTCATTTCTTTCCAATCTTTTTATTCTCCTCCTACAGATGACGAGGTCACTGTGGGGAAATTTTATGCCACCTTCTTGATTCAGGAGTACTTCCGCAAGTTCAAGAAGCGCAAAGAGCAGGGGCTTGTGGGAAAACCATCACAACGCACTGCTCTCTCCCTGCAGGTAACTGTGTGTCCACAACAGCTTGTCATTTGTCGCTCTCAACAATCCAATTGCTAAAAAATCCTTTCACTTTTATGACATCTACAATTGTATTCTATCAGTAGGAAGTGTGTCTAATAGGAACCTGTGCAGCTAGAACTGAGCATCTGAGAAATAAAATACATAGAGATGACATCTAGTGAAAACTGCACATCAGTAGACCCAGATATACAGTATACATGGCTATTATATTCAGATCTTACAATTTTTTTCTGTAAAAATCAAGGGGGTGGGGCACAACTTGGCTTTTACAGAAAAAGCTAAGCTGACTGTATCTCTGAATTGACTAAGGCAGTCCTTACATTCATTTCTTTTTGTTCAGCCAGTGGGTTGAATGAAAAAAAAAAAAAAGGAAACGGTTCCCCCATCCACACTCTTGATATGGATGAGGGAATCGCTCCTGTGTTATTGTTTTCTGATGGCGGGAAGTCTTCCCCGCCATCGGAATACAATGATCAGTGTTGCTGGCTATAGCCAGCAGCACTAATCAATTGGGGAAAACCGACAGGCTGGTCGCAGAAAAGTTGATCAGTAGATCCACTTCTATAGAACCAGGGTGTCCATACATTGACCGAAATTTGGCTGATCTCTGCTGAACTGGCTGAATTTTGATTCATGTATGGCCAGCTTAAAGGAGAAGTACTGCCAAAAGCTATTTTGGCTGTACTTCTCCTGTGGATCACAGGAGTGCAGTTCGTTCTGTACTCCTGTGACCCGTTTTCAGCCGTCAGTGGGCTTCAGTCATTCAGCTGGTCAAGGCTGGGGAAAGATCCCAACTTCAAATTTGGGATCCACCCCAGAGTCTGGAGAGGCACCTGGCTCAGTCTCTCAATGAGCCACTGAGAGCCTAAGCCAGCCGCTCCCTCCTCCTTCACAGCCCAGTGCTCCAGTGAGTGCTGGGGAAGGGGGGGTTGGCCTGAGCAGAGAGCGATGACTGACAGTCGCGCTCTCTGCTCAGAGCAGCTGTGAGAACTCAGAGATCATTGGTCTTGTGATCACTGAGTTCTCACCCTTAGAGCCAGTGGAGGAAAGGCAAACCGATGCTGCATTCACCTAGGTAAGTATGATTTTTAAAAAACAAAAATTACCATACTTCTCTTTTAAGGGGTTTCAACATGTACTGTAGTTTTTACTAAAGGTTACCACAGAGTGGTAAAATGGGTTTATTTTAAGGAAAGAAATTATAGTGATTTCAGTGTGCATGCTTCATTAGTCATTATTATAATGTTTACTTACTAAAGTAATTTTTGTATATATAGCATATACTGTATGTTTTTGCACCGAAGACGGTTCTCAGCATCATCAGATTTTGTGATCAGGAGCTTGAACGTATATTGCAGATCAGTTAGAATTGTGTCAATGTCCCAATATTTATGGACCTGACTGTAGCTGGCTTAAAATGTATCTATCTATACGCTACATATTGGGGAAAGTTCTATGGGACTCAGACAGCAGAGAACTGGGCATGAGTATTAACCCTTCTTTATTCAAAATAAAAAAAATGTTTTGGCTTCAATTATACTTAATCTTTTATTTACAGTTATAAGTATACAATAGGTGATCTTGTATTTCTGGAGTGATGGCTCTTAGACATGAACCAGTACCATCAAAAGTCACATGATCTTACTAAGGCAGGCCACTTGAGGAGAGACAACTATATAAAAAGGCAATTTTGCACTATAAAGGTCACATCAAACCAAATGATTCAAAGTGCAAAACCCTTATCTTGTTTATGGAACTGTATATACTATTCTTTAGATAGAGGTATATTTCTATATACAATATAGTATGCCATACACAACTGTAATCTACATATCACCTTGTATATAATTGTACATGCCAATCTGTATAGCTGTGTACACCACCCTGTACATAGATGTACATACCACCCATATATATGTACATACCACCCCATGTATTTGTATATACCACACCATGTATGTAAGTGTATATATCTGTATATACCATTTTGTATATATTCTTATATACCACCCTTATATAGCTTCATCTTCCAATATCTATGTACTTGTATATAGCACAGTGTTCCTATATGTAAACTCTGCCCTCAAAATAAACATTTGTGGTAATCAGTACACAATGGAAGGCACATATTCTATTTGAATATAAAAGGACAGGATACGTTCCATGACAGTATATTATATTTATACTGGTTAAAGCACGTATCCCTTCTGTACAAATTTGACATATAAAATTATATCTCTTTCCACATAATCCCTCTGCTGGTAATAAACTGTGTACATGGCCTAATGAAATCTAATGACAAGGCAGAGAAGGATTGTTCAGGGCCAACTGATTAGAGTGTGTGCCAAATGAAGATCTTCCTTGAGGTCGATGTAAGTTGCATCATTTTATTGTTGTGTCTACTGCCATCTCTTGCTGGGGGAACTCGGCCATGGCACACTGTCCAGATCTTTGTGGTTCCCCCTCAGGCCGGACTGCGCACGCTGCACGATATTGGGCTGAGATTCGCCGTGCTATTTCTGGAGATCTGACCGCAGAGGAGGAGCTGGACAAAGCCATGAAGGAGGCAGTGTCCGCTGCATCTGAGGACGACATCTTCCGGGTGTGTAGTTCGAATGGGCACTGAATATACTGGACAGGGGAAGGGGAGGGTAGGCACTGCTGGGGGCTACACCATTTCTTCAGTGTACGCACAGGCACTCTAAGAGCCCGCTTCACGTAGGAATGGCAGTTGCTTGTTACAGTGATGTTTGTCATGCTATAACATTGTATTCATCATCTGTTACCCTAACACTGTATATGTCATCCTGTAATTTTGCATTCATCACTCTATTACACTCTATAGCAATGTATTCATCAGTCTTGAACATTGTATCTGTCACTATGAAATCCAGCCATTGGGTTCAATTTACAAAGCTTTTTATATATATTTATATTTTAGTCACGTGACCATTGTTTCAAAATCCTATTGGAACTGAAAATAATTGTCACTTAAAAAAAAAATAATTATCCTTATCCTGATGTTTTAGCTTTGTGAATTGAGCCTGTTGCAGCTATCATCCTATGATCCTCTATCAGTCATCCAGCAACACTATAGGCTCAATTCACAAAATAAACGTTGAATGAGATTTAAAATGTATTCTGCTAAAAGTGCTAAAAAGATTACTTACCCATGTATTTGTGAATTGAGTCTTATATGTGTTCCCTTGTAATATTTTGTTCATTCTTTTGTAACTTTGTATCAGTCACTCTGGAGCATTCTATCCACCAGACTGCATCATTACATCTGTTACCATATAATATATCCATTGTTCTGTAACATTGTATCCTTCACTTTGTAACATTGCATCTTTCACTGTAACATTGTATATCTCTCATTCTGTAACATTGTATCTGTCATCCTATAACATATCCTTCAGTCTCTAAAGTGATTCTGTGAAGACAGAAATAAGGGAGCCAACTTGTTTTTTTGTCAGAGCTGTATTCTGCAGGCTGACATTGCTAGCTGGCTAGCCACTGACCTGGAACAAGCATGCAACCAGTGAAGTCTGAACTTGTGTCCAACATGCTTCGTCCTGGTCAGTCGCTTATCAGGTAGGAAAGCCAGAATAAACATGACAACTCCAGTGTCTGCATGTTAAAAAAAAAGTCAGCAGTGGTAATGCAGCAAGCACAAATAGGCCTACCTACCTGCCCTGCTTCTTTTTATATTCTTCAGCTTGTAACACTGTATCCATTGCTGTGTATCCATCATGCTTCATTATCACATGTGACATTCTATAGTTCTGTATCTGTCAGCCTGTAATGTGGTATTTTTTATCCTATAACAATCTGTAAATCATATGTGTAATTTAGTCATCATCCTGAATCTGCCTCATTTATCCAGCTATTATCTGCTTCTTTTTCTTGATCATCCTTTTTTTCTGTCACATATCCACCACTCAGCACTATACTTGTGCTTCATGTGACATGTTCATTCTATTAGTTATATTCCCTGTTGTATCTGATATTGTACTTCAGGTTTCACATTTGTGTGTAAACACTGACTGTCTCTTTAATGACTCATTTATGTTCTGTTAAATACACTATTGAAAGTGTTATGTTCAATTATTGTAAAAAATACCTGCTGATCCTGTCAGAAATCCAGTGCAGTCCTGTGTGCTTTTTAGTTTTTATCAAACCTGTTCAATTCCTGAGTGAACTACACAACATCCCCCATATTATGGAGACGGGGAGTGATGTGCTGTAGTCCCTAACACACTTAGGCCCATTTCGCATGGATGTTCCGATCGGGTCCACATGTCCTATACTCCTCTCTCTGGAGTGTGTGGGTATAATCCACCAAAAAGAGATGGGATGGAGATCTGTTCCCCTTCCGTCCGTTGGACTGGATGCCATTCGGAAGGAAATGGACAGTTTCCACCAGACCACCCATAGAGGACAGCGGGCTGTGGCCATGTATGCTCTGCATAAACAGAGCGGACATGGACCTGTCCATCCGCTTGCTCAGAAGACAGATCCCCTGCTGAGCAAGCGGATCCACTGTGGGTCCACTCCATGTGAAAGGGGCCTTCTTGCCCAAGAGTGACAATGCTCCTCCTTCAGGGATACAATACAGTGAGTGACTATCATCACCCTAGGACAGGAAGCATGTTACTGGTAGGATCACCAGTTAAAATGTATGCAGCCACTACATCAAGGGACCAGTAAGCTGCAATATATATTACATTTTTGTACTTGAGTTAGATACATTTTACCCCTTATAAAAGTCCTGTAACAATTCACTGTGTGCAGCTTCTCCATCCCAGAACATTGTATCTCTTACTTCTATTAAGTATTACCTTTAGAATGGTTTTTCATGTAATGTTGTGTCAGTCTTGTGAATCTAGTTCAAAGCTCTCTTTTTCTGCTGTTTTATCATTCATCCATCAGTGTGCACCCACCAAGATCTGTCAATCCTCTCTACTTTTTCAGATATAGCTGGATTGAATCACTCACTGTCTACTTATATCTTTCAGATACACCCTTCATATAATTATCATTTTTACATTCTTCTCTATAAATTGTGGATATATCTCCTGAGGGATATAGCTTATTTTTTTAAACACAATTCTTATATGTGATATTTTGTGCCAGAAATCACAGCAAAGAAAAAGGTCTGTCCACCCAAAAGTTATTTTTTTTTATAAATGAGATCTGGTCATCAAAGTAAGCCCCATGTTCTTATATGCCTTATGTATATTCTGACAGTGAGATCTTTTGCCATAGTTTCTGGCTCTGATCCTGTTCACCTTGGAGTTTTGGGTTTACTCTCCCACATTTGTGAATTTCAGTTTCTACTGTTACACTATTATTTTATAATGAATTAGAAAATTAGTAGGGCTGGTGGGAGTCCCTCATAATGGGTACAGCAGACATATTGAGCTCAGTAGTTATAGAGAGTCACAAACTCCATGCAGGGATGGTGGAAACCCATCATAATATGCGTGGCAAGTATAGAGAACCTGGAACTTCCCACATGGAAGAAAAATATATTTGAAATATATTTAAAAAATATTCTTCCCAAATATATTGACATATATTTGAAATGCTACAATTTTGGACATATTCAATATATTTCTTTCTCTCTCTCTCTCTCTCTCATGGATTTTTATTACAAAATATATGAAAAATATTTGAAAAATTGATTTCAAATATACTATATGTTTTTAAAAATACAAATCTACATTTTTGGAATGCATTTACAAATATATGTAAAAATATATGTTAAAAATCTGAAGAATATATTTTTTAAAAATATATTTTTTTTTAAATATATTCTTCAGATTTTTTTTTAAACATATAAAAAAAGTCATTTTAACATATATTTTGCATATATTTGCAAATGCATTCCAAAAATGTAGATTTGTATTTTTAAAGACATACAGTATATTTGAAATGTATTTTTACAAATATTTTTCATATATTTTGTAATAAAAACGCATTTCAACATACATTCTTCCATATGGGATGGAAGCAGGGAGCAGGGATGATGGGAGATAATGGACGCAGCAGGTGTGCAGAACTGGAAACTAAGTAGAGGGATGGAATAAATCTCTCATAATGGCCACAGCAGGTGTTTATATCTAGGGAACTGGCAATTGCCAGATGCTGAAATAATAAGTTTTGATTGGACTAGCCTTTTGCAATGGGGTATCTTATCTCCCTGATAACATTTTCCATTTCTGTTAGAATTACTTTGACTGCCCAACCACTGTACACTTGTTAGAAATCATCATTATGCAGTACTTGTAATATATTTTCATCATATAAAATCAGATTCCAGTCAGTACTGTACTTTGACATTTTCTCTCCCTTTGTCTTGGCAGAGGGCAGGAGGCTTGTTTGGGAATCATGTAGGATACTATCAAAGCGAGGTGCGAAGTGCATTCCCTCAAACTTTTACCACACAGAGACCGCTACACATCAACAAGACATCTGCCGGTCCTGGGGACATAGACTCACCCTCTCATGAGAAACTGGTGGACTCCACTTTCACACCCAGCAGCTACTCATCCTCTGGATCTAATGCCAACATCAACAATGCCAACAACACAGCCCTAGTACGTCTTCCCAATCTGCCTGCCTACCAAAGCACGGTCAGCACTGTAGAGGGGCAGAGCTGCCCGCTGCGCACACATGGGTCCTGGAAAATCAGCTCTAAGAGGTAAGAGGATTTGGGGAAATAAAAATTGCTTCCCTATCATCTGACTGCTGGCTTGTGTGCCTATTCTGTTTTGGGCTGTGGAGGTGGTCTTCACCAAAAGAAGAGCTTATTCCATGTTCCATGATTAGAAATGTGGACTGAGCTGGTCTTCACAAACAGAGGATCTCGCTTGTGGTCTGTTTAAAACTGTAGAGAGAGCTGGTCTTCACCAACTGAAGATCTTTCTCATAGTGTGTTTAGAACAATGGATGGAGCTGGTCCACACCAATTGAAGCACTTACATGTAGCCTGTTTGGAACTGTGGGTGGAGCTGGTCTTTTCCAAAAGAATAACTTCATTGTAGCCTATTTAGAACTGTGGCTTGAGCTAGTTTTCACCAAAAGAAAATTTTACTCCAAGACTGTTTAGGACTGTGGATTAAGCTGGGTTTTACTAATAGAAGATTCTACTCCAAGTCTGTTTAGAACTGTGGATGAAGATGGTCTTCCCTAAAAGAAGAATTTGATTGTAGTCTGTTTTAGAACTGTGGATAGAGCTGGTCTTCACCAATGGAAGATCCTGCTCATAGTCTGTTTAGAACTATTGACAGAGCTGGTCTTCACCAATTGAAGATCTGCTTCATAGACTGTTTAGAAATCTGGACAGAGCTGGTCTTCACCAACTGAAGATCTCACTTGTAGTCTGTTTAGAACTATGGATGGAGCTGATCTTCACCAAATGAAGATCTTACTTGTAGTTTGTTTAGAACTATAGATGGAACTGGTCTACACCAATTGAAGATCTTATTTGTCAACTGTTTAGTTCTATGAATGGAGCAGGTCTTCACCAATGCAAGATAAAACTTAAGTCTGTTTAGTCTCCTGAAAGAAGCAAAATTTGCCCTTTTAAAATAAGTAGCCCATTTTTGGAGAAAATTGAAAAAAAAAATTCATTGTGGAGTAGTTTTACAAATTGAAAGTTGTTTTGTTACACGGGGAATGTGAAATGCAGTGTATATAAAAGTAATATGCTTGAAATAAAAGTACAGCTTATTCAGTAAATAAACTAAACTTGCTTTTTAAAATTTTTTTATTTCAAATGGAATAACAACTACTGTATATGGTAAGAATATTTCAACTATACACGAGAACAGGTAACCACCCCCTTTCCCTCATAATAATTTAAAAGCTTCCTGACAATATGCATTTTCAGTTATTGAGAGCATTGATCCAGAAGCATATATTGCTCTTGCAAGAGCATGATTAGTGTTCTCCTGATTTTCAGGAGTCGTTTTATTTAGAAATTAAGAGGATATTAAAAAGAACAAAAAGAGGGTAGACAAGAATAATTTCGTCCTACTCACTATTTCAGTGTTGCCAGAATAACCAAAACATACACACAAAAATATATAAAAAGCCTATCCAAGAAGTAAAGCCCCCCGGGTAGGCAAAAAGAGATTACTCATATGGCAAACAAGGCTTAATGGAAAGTCTATACAATTTTATTAGTATCAAAAAATGCCATAAATTGGCAATTTTTCACTTAATCTGACAGACATAGTGCTCAATACCTTAATGCAACCAACACCAATAGTGTATAAAAATAAAAATGATATCTAATAAATGTCTGAACATCAGTGAAATATATGTATTGCAAAAAATAACGCAGACATCTGCTATAAACTATCAACCAATTATATGCCAATAATGCAATACATATATGCCCCAGGGCCCCAAAATTTCCGCCATTGTAGTATATCTCACATAAACTATCGCTGACCATACTGTAGTTACTGGATGTAACTTATTGTTGAGTCCACAGTAAGCAGTTTAAAGTCCTAAGAGGGTCAATAATATAGTGGATTATAGCGGATTGGCAGAGGAATGGGCAACAATGCCACTGGACATAAATACATTCATTGGTGGTCCAAAGGGACTCATGAAGCAATATCAGTTCATTCCGTGTAGAGGGTAAGTATTATCCTTCGTATTCATCCAGTTGAATATTCAATGAATGCTAATTGTCATCCAGTGTTAGCGGGGAGCAACACATGAAAGGATAATAATTATAGCACACTCAGGAATGGAGTAATAGGAAGCAATTAGGAGTAGTGCACGCCAAAGTTGGTGGTCATATCATTTAGATCTTCTGCAGTGGCTCTACCCTGGTGTTGTACCTCTAGGGGAGCCAAAATTATTTCCACTGTTTGCTAATAGCTTCCATTATAAATATGTATAGCCTGACTGGAGTAAATCTCACATTGTCCCATATGTGCTGTTCTCCATTCTATTGTGCTTTTGTCAATGTGTGTACATCTTACCACTCCGGGTGTCGGAGATCGGCGCGCCGCTGGGCTCGGTGCAGGCGCAGTACACCTCCCTGTATGCGAGCGCCGGGACTTGGCCGACCGCGGCAATCAGGTTCGCGCATGCGCAGTAGTGACCACGGGCGCGCGCCTGGCACCAATGACAGCGCAGGGCGGGATATTTAAACGGCCCTGAGCTGTCATTCAGTGCCTTTTGGTCTCCTTGTATCCTGTGAACCTGTGAACCTGTTGTAGTAAGTTGCTGACCCGGATTGTGCCCTGACCTTGCTGTTTTCTCCTGTTCTTGACCCTTGCTTGCCTGACCCCTCTCCTGAATGTTCCTCCGCCTGGACGCTATTGCATCACCTCTTTTCCCAGTCATTCTGGGGCTCCCATGGTTACGGGCCCATAACCCCCAGATTGACTGGGAAACCGGGTCAATCTCGTTCCCTTCCCCATACTGTCGGGAATATTGTCGCACTTCGGGCCCCGAGTTCTCCTTTGCTCCGAAGGAGACTCCGATTTGAAACAGGTTATTCCCGCAGCCTATTATGGGTTCCTGGACGTGTTCAGTAAGCAGGGAGCCAATACTCTGCCCCCCCACCGCCCGTATGACTGTCCAATCGACCTGTTACCAGGCTCTGAAATCCATTTTGGGCGTATTTTCCCCCTATCTGAGCTTGAATTGGGGGCCCTAAAGGAATATATCGAGGACAGCCTCCAGAAGGGATTCATCCGCCCCTCCACTTCTCCAGCAGGAGCGGGAATCTTCTTCGTGGAGAAGAAAGACAAAACCCTGAGACCTTGTATCGACTACCGGGAGCTGAACAGGGTCACGATCAAAAATCGTTACCCATTGCCATTGGTACCAGAACTGTTTCAGAGCCTAAAGGCTGCGGTTATATTCACAAAGCTTGATTTAAGGGGGGCCTATAACCTGGTACGCATAAGAGAGGGGGACGAGTGGAAAATGGCTTTCCGTACCCGGTTTGGCCACTTTGAATACCTGGTCATGCCATTTGGGCTGTGCAATGCACCAGCCACCTTCCAACATTTCGTGAACGACATCTTCAGGGATTTTTTGGATGTCTTCGTTATCGTCTACTTGGACGACATACTAATTTTTTCACCCTCTCTAGAGGATCATAGGATACATGTGGCAAAAGCATTGGGGCGGTTGCGGCAGCATGGGTTATATGCTAAGGCGGAGAAATGTTGCTTCGAGCAATCTAGCATCACGTTTCTAGGCCTGATTATCTCCTGATTATCTCCACTGCGCGGGGGTCGCGATGGACCCCCAGAAGGTCTCTGCAATTTTAGATTGGCCTGAACCCACGGACAAAAAAGGTGTCCAACGGTTTATAGGGTTCGCAAACTTTTATCGGAAGTTCATCAAGAACTTCTCGGGTCTGGTCTCCCCCATTACTCAACTAACCAAACTTGGAACCCGGTTCAAATGGACACCAGAGGCTCAAAGAGCTTTCGAAGCTCTGAAAAAGCTATTTACCTCGGCACCCATCCTGGGCCACCCGGACGCGGCCCTGCCCTACATCTTGGAGGTAGATGCATCGGAGAATGCGGTAGGATCCATCCTGTCTCAGCGGAAAGGCACCAAAGAGTTACTCCATCCCGTAGCATTCTTCTCGAGGAAACTCACCTCAGCGGAGAAGAATTACGATATCGGTGATCGAGAGCTGCTGGCTATCAAAGCAGCGCTAGAGGAATGGAGGTACCTGCTGGAAGGTGCCTCACACCCCATATTGATTTTCACAGACCACAAGAATCTGGAATATCTGAGGACTGCCAAGCGTCTACGCCCACGGCAGGCAAGATGGGCCCTGTTCTTTTCCAGATTTAATTTTCACATTACTTACAGGCCCGGATCTAAAAATACGAAGCCCGACGCACGCATATCTCGTATGTTTGAGGACTCCGAAGAAGAACTGGTACCCGACACTATCTTGTCTTCAGGGAACTTCTTGGCGCTCCAGATGGACCTTCGCTCCAAGTTAATAGAAGCATCTACGGCCACACCAACCCCAGTTGGGGTATCCCTCCAGAACAAGGGGGGACTCCTGTGGAAGGAAGATTCAATCGTGGTACCTGAGGAAGTCCGGACCCTGGTTTTGGGGATTTGCCACGATCACCCGCTGGCAGGTCACTTTGGCCCAGTCAAGACTCTGGAGCTTCTCCGGCGCTCGTTTTGGTGGCCAAACATGGCTAAGGATTGCAAGCGCTACGTGAGATCCTGTACCATCTGCCAGAAGAGCAAACCATCGAGGAGCAAAGCCTGGGGGCTGTTGCGACCTTTGCCGATTCCCGAACGGCCTTGGCAGAAGATCGCGATGGACTTCATAGTCGAGCTCCCACCATCGCAAGACCACACAGCAATTCTGGTGGTCATTGATCGCCTATCCAAAATGGCTCACTTTGTGCCACTAAGGAAGACTCCGTCAGCAGCCGAGACGGCGCGAATATTTATCCGGGAGATCGTTAGACTTCATGGAGTACCTGAGGACATCGTCTCTGATCGAGGGGTCCAGTTTACATCTAAGTTTTGGAGGGCTCTGTGCAAGGCCCTGGACATCAAGTTGTCCCTCTCCTCCGCGTTCCACCCTCAGACCAACGGTCAGACCGAGAGGACGAACCAGTACTTGCGTTGCTACACATCTTTCCTGCAGGATGATTGGTTGTCACTCTTACCCCTGGCGGAGTT